ACAATCAACAAAGATTGAGGACAATTGACAAAGATTGAGGACAATCGACAAAGATCAAGGACAATTGACAAAGATTGAGGACAATTGATGATGGTTGAAGACAATTGAAGATGGTTGAAAACATTCGAAGAGGTTTGGAGAAGATTTTAGAAGATTAAAATCCTGTCTTTAGTTGGTCCAGTTTGATGAGTGGAAACTATGAAAAAAGAAGATTGAGGACGGTTGACGAAGAAAGAAGAAGATCGAGGACAGTTCACAAAGATTGAAGAAGATCAAGGATGGATGACAAAGATTGAAGAATATCGAGGACAATCTAAGAAGACTGGAGAAGATCGAGGACAATCGAAGAAGGAAGAAGAAGATTGAGGACAGTTGACAAAGATTGAAGAAGATCAAGGACGGATGACAAAGATTGAAGAATATCAAGGACATTTTAAGAAGAATGAAGAAGATCAGGGACAATCGAAGAAGAAAGAAGAAGATCGAGGACAGTTGACAAAGATTGAAGAAGATCAAGGACAATCAAAGAAGATTGATGATGATGAAAGAGGTTTTGGAGGAGAGCGAGATGGGAAGGTACTTTGAAGCTCTTGAGACAGAAGGTAGAATGTCTCCGGTCAGAGGTGTTGATACCTGTGAGACCGTGCTTCTAGCTGGCTGGCCAACATGTGGGTTTTGGCTGTGGTGGAATCTAACATTGTTGTTTGAATTTTACAGTTTCAGAAATGTGTTTTATGGTTTATGATTTTTGGTTTTTGGTTTTTGTTTTTTTGGTTTTTTGGTTTTTGGTGTTGCTGGTACTTTTTGTCAAAAGGTGACAATGCAATGAAAACGGTGTTGACCACTGGAAATTTGGGCAAAAAGGGGTTTCTGCCTTGATTTTTACTCCAGTACAGGGGTTTTATCCTTGTATTTGAGTATTTTCTGTAGTTTTGTCTGTGATTTTTGAATTTCGCACCCGGGAATTGTGATTTTCGTTTTTTGAAATTTCGCATTGTCACTTTGGAACGTCTCGCATTCCGTAGAAGTGTGACAGATTCGGGAGTGCTCCAATGTTCAAATTCAAGTTCCTTATGCGGACGAAGTCAAGTGATAAAGATTCTAAGGAAGGCGTTTCATTGAACAAAGCTGCTAATGAGTCACAATCGTGACATATCCCATACCCGTAGCCTCCACCAATTATCAAAATTTTAAGATTTTCAACATCTTTCATAGTGTTGATAACGGATTCCGGAAAGCCGACTGGGCCAATAAAATTCAATTTGATCTCGGTAATTGTGTTGCTGCACAATTTAATGATATGTTGTACGTTGTCAATCAGAAGCATGGGACCTCGGGGTGGCTTTGCTTGGTTTGATTCTCGGAACTGTTCGTATTCGGCGTGATGTTCACTTCTCGAGTTGTAGAAAAGATTGGAAATCAATAACCGTTTTAACCATGAGATCCCAGAGCTAATAAGCAAACTCCTCGGTGTTCGGATCAGGTTCAGAGTTACCTCAGGCGAGTCAAGGTTTAGCTCCCGAAATACATAAGGCACTACGGCCTCCGCCCAGACTGGACCAATTGCGCGTAATTTCAATACATCCAACAAAGACGCATGAGTGATATAACACTGATCAGCGCTGTTGATCTCATGCGAAACTGTTGTGGCGCAGTCCTCTCGCACATAACGGAGGATGATGTTAACGACTTCGATTGGAAGGACCGTGGTCGGAGGCATGGCAGCGGTGGTTTGAAGGCTAACAATTGTACACGGTTTGGTATGAGCGAATACGATGGCTTTGGAGAATCAATCTTGCATTAGACAGTTTTCAGTCAATAAGTAAGGAAGGCATTAGGTTTGCATTGGGGTTGGGGTAATAATGGGGCAAATCAATACATAAGTTATTAAAAATGGCAAATCCAAACAGTACTGCAACCATGTTGGACGGAATATTTTTGACTTGGAGGTCGTCCACTACAAACAACACCAAAACCACCACTACAGTCATAACCAAAGATTGCTTGAGTGGTTTCAATAAAGTCTGAAAAGTCCCCAAAGTGAGTCAAGCTACGCAAGCAAGTTTGTTTGAATTTGAATTTAAACACAATTCAATATGATCATGTCAAAATCTATTTGAAAGATTCTTGTTTACAGTGTATATATAAAGCAGTGCGTCAATGCTAGATTATACTGAGCATTGTACCAACAGTGGTTAATTGTGTAGTATTATTGATAGCGCATATGTGGAACAATTAAAGCCAAAATTTATTGAGAATTAGTTTCGTGGTAGTTTAAAACAATTGTTGAAAACTGCCAAAATTTTGCCCAGAAGAAGCATACTTCAATTGAAGAGAAGACCTGATACGATCATAAATGGCTAAGTAAAAAATATATTGAATGGCTGTCGTACGGGATAATAACTACATGAGAACTTGTTGATTGGGTGCTGAGTTTACAACATAAGCACAAAGATTCACTAACTTAGCCACTGGCTGCTGTTTCGTTAATTGCCAAGAAAACTGGTGGGCGATAAATACAATCAGGCACATTGAAGATCAAGCAATCGTGCTAGTTCCTGTGGAAAAAAATGGTTCAAATGAGTTATGTAATCAATCGGCAATGGTAGGGCGGGGTTGCTTTACCAGTAAGTCACAGTACCGCCATTCGTCCCGGAAATGACAATGAATCCCGTGTGCTCGAAAAGCAGAAGTTAAAGCTGCTGCTTGGTAAAGCACACCATCAGTAATGAAAACAATATGTTTAAAATTCGGGGGTGGGAGCCGTGATTGACCACTGAGGGCTTTTAACAACTGGCGCCAGTAATAATTCGAGTGCCAGAACGAGGTGACAAATACTTTCATGTTCCTAAAGATCTGCATTTCTAACCATTTAAGACTTGAAGTAGTACATCCCAAGCCAATAGTTCTGATGATATGAAGTTGAGGGAAGGATTCTTCGGCAACTCCAATAGGAATCAAGTCGGGTACTGATTCAATGAATAAAGTTCGAATTTGATTCTGCAAAGTTAAAATAATTGGACTGGGTTGATCACGATCGAAATGAGGTAGGTATTCAAAATGCTGGATCTGTCCACCTTGAGTTTGACATAGGTGAGTAATAGCATCAATATTTTTTGGGTCGCATCTAACCGAGAGATATTTGAGACTCATGAGGGACCCGGGAGGCAAATCTAGGCGGTTTAAGTGGGCAACGTCCAAAGATAGCGATTCAAGTTGGGGGGTTACACTGAGGAGATTTATCAATGACTCGGTATGATTTACTACGAGTCCGGAAGGACTGCCAATAATCAGTAGATTGTTGAGTTTCTTTGCTCCTCTGACCGCGTCTACCATGCCTGGCGAAAAGGCTACTATGCCCTGAAATCTAAGTTTGAGGTCGGTTAATGTATGGCTACAGAGGTCGATAATTTGTTCAACATCTTGCATTGAAACACAATCAAGATTTAAGATATGAGGTGGTAAGCCATTAGCTGGGTTGATGTCTGTGATCGAGTGGCTTAAATGCTCAACGCTCAGTCGTTGGAGTGGAGCCATGTTAGAAATGATGGAAGACGATTTGAGAGTTTGTATTAAACAGCGGATCATGTGTGGACAGTTCAACTCAAGGCTACGATAAGCAAATGATATGGCGCCAACTGCCCAGGAGTTACCTACTAATCTTAACTTGAGCAAGTCCAAGAGCAATGATTTATGCGGGAACGGTTGGTCAGAGCTGTTTTGCCTATTCCAAGTTGGTGTGGGGTAGTCGAGAACATAATAATGCAGAATTATTCGGACTATTTCAATCGGGAGTAGATTACCGTTCCGCATCATGTTTGCTTGGATTAACCCATGTGATGCAGACAGATCAGGTTGTAACCAAGCGAACGAATAAGATTCGTCCCCTGTCCAAGGCAATTATGGAAAGCATGGCGTAAAGATTTAAAGCATTAGTACTTTGTTAACTATAGCGCATAAGTGGTACGTTGG